GCCCTGCCCCCCCCCGTCCGGCCCTCGCCTTCCCCTCGGGGGCACGCCCCGGGGCCGCCCCCGGCCGGCGGTCGCGGAGTGAGCAGAGCAGGAGGGTGAAGCTGGGTGCACGGCTCCCCGCAGCCTCCCTCCATCCTCCCCGCCCTCGGCCGCGGCTCCGTCCGCCTCCCCGACCGTCTCACCGGCCTCCCGCCCGCCTCTCCGCCAAGCTCGCGCGCCTTCCGGCCTCCCCGCGGTCAGTGCTGCCGGAGGCCGACGGGAGACGCCGCCGCCTCCCGCTCGCTACTTCGCTTCCTCCCGAGCTCCTCCGGCTTCCCCTCACCCCCGCGAGTGGCCCGGAGGAAGCCAGCGCGCCGCCCGGCCTCCTCCCTCGCTTCCCAGTCGCGACCAATGGGCCCCCGCAGCCGGGGAGCCGCGCCCGCCCCCTGGCGGTGGAGGACCGAGCGGGCGCCCCGGCGGGCCGGAGGGAAGGGCGGCTGGGAAGGGCGGGAGAGCGGAGGGAGGCGTCTGCGATTGGGCCCGACGCCCCCCGCCCGAGGCTGTGCAATCTGGACTTGCCACGTGGGGGCCACGGCGGCAGCTGGGGCGCCGTGTTACCGCCCAGGCGAGTGGAAAACGGGTCACGCCCTCCTCCCTCCATTCACACACTTTCGTCATCCTGACTTCAGGGCAGAAATTTTAAAATAACCAATCTCATCCGGAGGTCCACCAACTAGGACGATATGAGATGGTCATGTCCACCTTGCTTCTTAGTCAATTTCCTTTAGATTCCTTGAAAGCTAGCTAATCTATGGTGAAAATACTACCTGGCCAGAGCAGTGGAACGCTGGCGACCTTAAATATTTGATCCAAGGAGAAAGTAGTGCTTGGATTTTGCACGTCATTTTGTTTAAATTATTCAGCAACACAACAGTTCGAAATTTTTCTCTGCATACATTTTTTCCACGATTGTGTTGATTAACTAGGTAATCGATCCACACCCCACTGAAAAACCTGACCCGAAAACACAAAGTTGTTTCATAATCCATATCTATATTTCAGAATAATTAATAACAACTACCATTATTAACTATTATTAAATAGAATATCAAGACAACACATGGTCATAAAATTAAATTGAATTAAAGAAATAATAAGGTTTGACCATTGTAAGGTCTCCTACCAAGTCTTAGGTTTTCCTCTGGAAATGTAAAACACAGAACCTAAAGAATAGCTATGAATTCTGGAGGTTTTGTTCCACCTTTGAGTGAGGAAGCAAGAAATGCATTCTGAGAGAACTTTGCATTGAACACTTTGCTGGACCTTTGATGGACCTTTGGGTGTGTGTTCTTATTTAATGCTCAGGACTCAAAGAAAGTAGATACTATTTGTGTAAGACTTTAACAAATCAAAAAATCAAGGCTCCAAAACTGAGTTTAAAGAACTTGCTTAAAAGTACAGTGTAGTAAATTGTGAAGCCGGAATTCCGGCCTAGCTCCATCTATCTCCTAAGAAACAAGACACTTTGTTTCTTACCAAAAAACACATTTACTGTGCACTTGCCTCCCTTAGTTCCCAGTGTCCCAGTGAAAGAATTTATGAAGCCTCTTGAGTAGGGAGGTCAGGCCATATTTGTAAAAGCGCTTTTTGTTCCAAAACAAAATCGCCCTGTATGAAAATGACATATGCTGTATTCTTATAGCACACTTGAAACAATTCCTGGGCTGAAAGTGTGTTTAATATCCTAATTCACCGATGACTGTAATATATAGTAGCTTAGAACTCTTAAGTAGATAATGAAGCTAGTAATAGTGGGTCACAACATGTTTTGATTCACCGAAATAGAAAAAAAAATCAGAGTTCATAGCACAACCTAAAGGTAAAAATTGTTTAAATTGTTTAATGAAACTTTTGTATTAGGTGTGGGTGTCTGGGTTACAATGTAAATTATATTTCTTAATATGGATTGCAATGTTTAAAATATGACAAATCACTTCTTTAGAGCACTTGTTAACCAGTTGTTTCATCTACCTTTTTACTTGGCTAGAAGTGGGGGAGGCAGAGGAAGTAACCAGGATTAATGATTAAGTTTAATAAGACTCAGAGAGCTTTGCAGCTCCGGGAGGTTTAATCCAAACGAACATTGCTTTACATAATAGGTAACGATCATTTATATTTCAAAGCCAATATTTATTGTATACTTAGTATATGCCACGCTCTTCTCCAAGCACTTTACAAATATTGACTCATTTAATCCTCACAATAATTCGATAAATACAAAGGGGAACAGTATGAGACTGACAGGGAAGTTGCCCAGGATGCTACTACTAGTACCTGGCAGAACCACGATTCAAAGCCACAGCCTCAAAGGATACTCCTTGTGTGTATTTGAAAAGAAAATGTGTCCTCTCTTCCTTCAATGGCTGCAGTGTTTTATAGAAAACTATATACTATACTATTTCCCATAGAAGGATTACCTAATATTGTTAATTAGATTTTTAATTGGATCCATTCTCAAGCAGAATATTCCATTAGTTTTCTGTATATGGAGCGGTAGATTGTCTGCAAATACATACGGTCACCAATAATTGCTCACATTCCCGTAAATTCCTGCCACTTTTACCATCAAGATGTGGAGTCTGCATTCCTTCCTCTTGAACCCAGGCCGGCCCTGGGACTTGTTTTGACCACGGAATACCGTGAAAGTGATGCTGTATGACTCTGGGCTTTGTGGCTTCTAGTTCCCTGTCCTGGGATTCAATCACCCTATAAAGAAACTCAGACAAGGCTACTGAATGAGAAGCTACCTGGAGAGAGAATGGGAGACCTAGTTAGTCCCAAACCATTCCAGTTGAGGCACTAGCTGTGCGAATGAAGTCATCTAGCACCTTCCAGCCCAGCTGTGCTCCTAGCTGAATGCATCACATGAGTGACCCCGGGCAATAACAAGTGGGGATCACCTGGTTAAGACCAGACAGCCCACAGAATCTTGAGAAATAGTTGTTGTTTTAAGTTGCTAAGTTTTGTGGTAGCTTTTTATAGAGTAGTAGATAACTGAAACTTAGAGGAAAAGGTTTGGGGGAAAAAAAGCTGACTAGTTCTGGGAGTAGGGTGTAGGGTTACTTTAAAATATTAAAGCATGTTTATATTGGATTATAAAGTCAAGCCTGCAGAGAGATGATCAGAAACCTGTCTACCTTTTAAAAAACAGCAGGGGAGGAAACAGGAGTAGAATAATGAAAATGAGGGTAAAAGCGTTAAAGTTGATACCTGGATTAAATATCGCAACCCCAAATTAAAATTATTGCTCAGAATGTTCACAATGATGTGCAATCAGAACTCTCAAACTTCATCCAGCCCATTGGCATAAACCACGGGACACTAGCATTACTCCTCTCTTCCCACTAGCTTCTTTCCTGCCAAGCCAGGCCAGTTATCAGTTGAGCCAAGTTGAATCGTCGGGATCTAAACAGACTCCAAATTTCCCAATTTCTCCATTTGGCAGCCTGTGTTGCCCTAGCGAGCTAGCTGGACTTTTGCCTAAAGGCCTCACCTCCAATTTCCCTCATTTCCTCTCATCCTCTGTTTTTGCCAGAGAGAGGCAAAAATAGGCCTCTACTCACTCTCACTGTCCTTTGTGTTGGCATCCTGACCTTTGTCTTCCATTACTCGAGTTGTTGCAGAAAGTATAATGGATTATCAAGGACAGACCTAGTGATGTCTCTCAGTTGAGTACCTGCACTCAAACTCAAGTACGCAATGTAGGTATACCGAATGTCCTTGAAAATGCCATGTGGGTCCCAAGTCCGGCTATGATCCAGGCTCATGGCTAGGGATAGGACTCCAAATTTAAAATGTTACATTAACGTCTCTCAGTTGAGTACCTGCACTCAAACTCAAGTATGCAATGTAGGTATACCGAATGTCCTTGAGAATGCCATGTGGGTCCCAAGTCCGGCTGTGATCCAGGCTCATGGCTAGGGATAGGACTCCAGATTTAAAATGTTACATTAATGTAGTAAGGTGCTTGCACCTAACTTCTGCAAATATGACTCAGCTTATTGTATGATACATGTGTGGCGGAATGCCACTATTGTTCTCTGATGTATATAAAGCCCATGTGGTCCCCTGGCACAAAAGCGCATGCTCCCTGCAATAAAGTTGGTGCCTGCCATTTCATTCTCATGTCGGCTCCTCGTACATTCTTTCAACTGGGCGTCTCACCACTAAAGCCTTCCCTTCTTGATCAGCTCAGCGCTGACACCATAAAATAATTTTTGTACCTGAACTAACAGACCCTGTACAAGGATCCTGAGTACAGGAGTACATCAGTGGAAGAGAAGGCTAATATTTATGGGGAAGAACTAGGTCTTTAGACGAAAAATACTCCTCATTCCTTCAGTGCTAGCATCCCCAAATTAGCTTTGAAACCAATTAGGTGTTCTCAGTTTTGAGGTCACCATGACCCATTTTCACGTGTTATTTTTGGGTTTAGCTACAAACAGAAACTTTTTTATTTGTTAACGGTTATATTCGTTTTGGTTTTTAGGAACCTGTAAGGACAAAATAGTATAGTTTATAAAGCTAGAATGCCTACAGATTTCATGACACATTTGATACGTTTATAATTTTAACATAAATCTTATCATTTTAACCATTTTAAGTACACAGTCCAGTAATACTGAGCACATTCACATTGTTGTGCAACAGGCACTGCCATCCATCTCCAAAATTCTTTCCATCTTGAAAAACTGAAATTCTGAACCCATTAAACAATAACTCCCAATTCCTCTGTCTCTCCAGCCCATAACAACTATCATTCTGCTTTCTGTTTCTATAAATTGGACTGCTTTAGGTATCTCATATAAGCAAAATAAAATGGTTTAAAAAGATGAAATGCCCAGATTTCATGACACAACATTTGATACATAAGCAACAAAGTCTGTACAAATATGTAGTTTAATTGACAATGAAATATAGGTAAGATACCACAAAATTATATTGTAACAAATGTATTTTTTCATGAAGGACTCTAGTTTTTTTTCCATCTATCACTGCTTTTCTAACTACATACAAGAAAATTCTAGATACCATAAAAATTGGATTTTTTAATGACCTTTTTTATTCTACTCTTTAGAAGATTCTGTTTCGGATTAAGTCTTTTAATAGATCTTTCAATGTAGGAAAATTTGGCATTTTTGTCTTAGTTATAAATCATATTAAATGATATACTGAATATGGTAGCCCACATCTAAAATATGTATCGGACTCATGACTACAGAAATTATCTTTCCTTTCCCTGAAATTATCTACAAGTGTATATTATAAACAATTATTAACATTACTAGTGGTTTCTTCAGAAGAATAGTTCATTTTCT